GGAAGAATTGGACATTAAGTCCTTAGATTGGCCAGGAAACAGCCCAGACCTTAATCCAATCGAGAATGTTTGGGCCTATATGGGTGCCAAAATAAGAAAGCGAAAGCCCAAAACTATGGAGGAGCTAACACATATTATAGAAAAAGTATGGATACACGATATAAAGAAGGAATATTTGTGTTCCATTTACGATTCTATGCCCAATAGGGTAAAATCTGTAATTAAGGCCAAAAGCGGCATTTCTAAGTATTAAGCTAAATTAAAAAAATATGCCTATTGTTAAATTGCCCAGAATTAAAATTTTTGTTATAGTTAGTAAGGTGTTCAATTGGAAAAACAAAGTTTTTGTTAAATTTTTTCATTATTATAAGTTTTATGATTTGTTTCCTTAAGTTTGCCATAATAGTGAAAAGTCGTTAAAACTAGGGTGAAACCAAAAAAAAACATTTTTTTAATATTAAAAACAAATTTCAAATAAAAATTGGTATGCACTTTTATTAACATATCATAAGTTAACTTGTTGAAAAAAAAATTGGGCGAATCCGCAATCATATAATGAAACAACAGGCCCTGAAAGTTGAAAATTCGTAAACCTTTAAAGTGCGGCTTTTTTTGTGGCGCTGACTGTATATACTTTACTTGTACAGATAAATACATATATAAAAAATTTGTGCTGTGTTTCAATGTTTATGTACAGTTTTAAGTATTTCCCCCGGTTGCCCCCAATTGAAATGTATGTGCCGTTATTTACTAATATTTAAAGATTATCAGGCAGGCTCCGGTTTTCACTTTTTTTTTCGTTTTCGTTTTTGGGCGAAAACGTACGTTTTCGTTTTAGGTGCTCCGGTTTTCACAAACTTTTTGTCATCGTTTCGTTATCGGAATTGTTCAAACAGCTGACTTTTTTTGGTCAAAAGTAAACAACGCGAAAAAATGACTTTTATATTTTCAATTGCCTGTTTTTTGATGCCAAAAGAAGGCAGAAATTGATTTATTTAAGAAAATCGAGACATCTTAGATGCAACACATGTGTTTTTAATATGTCTGACGATCGGTAAATTAAGTTGTCTTCAGTGGCGGATTAACCATATAGGCAATATAGGCAGCTGCCTAGGGCGGCAAATTTTTAGGGGCGGCAAATTTCGACTGTTAACACTACATAAAATACTACTTTTTAATAGACACAAACAATTTTTACTCTAAGGTCTTCAACTCTAACATATTGTTCAATATACTTCTTTTCGCTGCCGCGAACAAGCGGAAATTCAAAACGCACAATCATTATAACCGAAAATTACCGTGCGTTTGAATTTCCCGCGCGTTCGCGGCAGCCATCTTTGCGCCAATTCGCGAAGGTACGCTCCCGATGTGACCAGGCTCGTGTTATTGTTGTGAAGACATATGTGCAATATCGCGCAATCACATAAAAATTTCTTTTAAGCTTTCATCAATTTGAATTGAAAGATCAATATGTATATCGATAAAGAGAACAGTTATTTTTTAACTTTCAATAAAAATGAGTGACGGGCGAAATCGATTAAGCGGTGCCGAATATCGCAAGCAAGCCGCAAAAAGAAAAATAAAAGATGACGAGGTTATAGCAAAAACCAAAAAAATCTCCTCGTATTTCACGCTTCACGGAAGTCAAAGTGATGCGGGTAGTTCGAGTAGTTTGACCGTTGCTGAAAAAAGCCAAATTTCTGAAGAAACAACAGATTTCGCAGGTAAATTAAAGTTTCGAATTCCATGAATTTTTGTTCCTCTATAATTTACTATTTTTTTTAAATTCTTTTCTCATTATAATTGATTTAAGGTTATACTCCTGGTTTCTAGATTTTCTGTATTTTTGTTTAAAAAAATTTGTGCGCAGATTAAAAAGTACATAACATACATAAACATTTGAACAATTTTTTCAGAATCTACGGAAGAGATAGCATCAGACGTTCATAACAAGTCGAAATTTTTATTCAGCGATGACCCTGCGGAATGGCTTATAAATGACGAATTACGTGATCATATCGCTAAGTATAATTATAAGAGAAATGAACATCTGGATTTTTCGCAGTCAAAAAGAGTGAACAATAATATAACGCGGTCTTTAAATTCATCCATGTTCGAAAGAAAACTTGCGAATGGTGAAAAAACTTCCCGTGTCTGGTTAGTATATTCTGGAAGCAAAGGATCGGTATATTGTGCTCCATGCCTTCTTTTTGGCGGTCAATCTGCTTTCTGTGAAAAAGATGGATTCAGTGATTGGAAAAATGCGGGCGTAAGAATGAGTCAACATGAAAATTCTGAAAAGCATCAAACTTCTTTGAAAACTTTGAAAGATAGAGCGAGTGCTTTTGGTCGAATCGACAAAACTCTGCTCGCAGAATATGACAAAGAAATAGGTTACTGGAAAAATGTTTTGAAACGAGTCGTCGCTGTCATTAAGAGTTTAGCTTCACGTGGATTGCCTTTTAGAGGGCACGAAGAAAAGTTTGGTTCTTTTCACAACGGAAACTATTTGATGCTTTTAGAATTGATAGCCGAATTCGATCCATTTTTGAAAGAGCATATTTCGAAACTTGGAAATAAAGGCATCGGTAGTACCAGTTATCTGTCCAAAACAATTTGCGAAGAGTTCATCCAAATATTAGCTGATAAGGTATTAAATGTAATCATTCAAGAGGTCAAATGTGCAAAATATTACTCTATCATTGTTGATTCCACACCTGACATTTCACATGTGGATCAGCTGTGTCTTTTACTGCGTTACGTGAAAAAAGACGGTATGCCAGTAGAGCGTTTCGTGAAATTTTTACAAAATGCGGGCCACAAGGCTGTCGAAATGGAAAATGTTGTAATTTCTACTTTGGGTGATTTACAAATTGATATCAAAGATTGTCGAGGTCAGTCGTATGACACAGCCCGAAATATGTCCGGTATTTATGCGGGATTGCAACAATTGATCAAAAATCGTAACGAATACGCTGAATATGTTCCCTGTGCAGCTCATTCGCTTAATTTAGTTGGAAATCACGCAGTTGAAAGTAGTTCCACAGCTGCTGCTTTTTTTAATGATCTTCAAAGTTTATATAACTTTTTCTCAGCATCTACGAGTCGTTGGGATATTCTCCAATCTTACTGCAAGAAATCTTAGAAAATTACTGTGAAATCTCTTTCATTAACACGTTGGTCAGCTCGCAACGATGCCGTTCGCACTCTCGATCAGTATATACTGAAATACTTCAAGCTTTGTATTACATAGAAAACGATCTTTCACAAAAAGCTGTTACACGAAATGAAGCCAAAGGTATTAGGACTCGTTTCGAATTGCTTGAAACAGCTTTTATGCAATCTTTTTGGAGTTTTTTACTTTCCAAATTCAATGCTGTGAGCAAAAAATTACAATCCACGCTTACCAACCTGAATGAAGTAGTTCAATTGTATCAAAGTCTTATAAAAGTTGCAAGTGATGCACGTGATGCACGTGATGATTTTGACTTTTTTGAAAAAAAGCATTCGAGTTGTCAGTCAACCAAGAATACAAAACACTTCAAGGCAGGGTTAAACGTCGGAAAATTTATGAAGATGAAACAGGAACAGAGGAGGTAACATTGCTTGGAAAAGATGACTTCAGAGTCAACACGTACAATGTCATCTTTGACAATTTATTATTTGAATTACGTGAAAGGTGCCAAAAATATGAAGAAGTTTGCGATAAGTTCTCTGTTTTGATTGATTTGAAAAACATGAATAATGTGGAAATCCGTGAAAAAGCAAAAGCTTTGCAAGAAGCATTCAATGAAGATTTGGAAAGTTGTTTGGATGATGAATTGATTCATTTCAAAGCATATCTTGAATGTGATCTGGGTTTGAAAACACACACACCTATTGAAACTTTCAACTTTTTCAGATGTAAAGATCTTGCCGAAGTGTTTCCTAATGTCGACATTGCTTACAGAATTTTCCTTTCCATGGCTATCACAAACTGCAGCGGTGAGAGATCGTTTTCTTGTTTGAAACGAGTTAAAAATTACTTTAGATCAACTATTGGACAAAATCGCTTGAATTCTTTGGCTTTGTTGACAATAGAAGCGGAAGTTTTACATGAGGTAGAATGCGATGCAATCATTTCTGATTTTGCGATTCGTAAAGCACGACGTAAGAACACATAAGCCAAATAAACGAACAAACGCACAGATATACAAATACTTATGTTAATATGTACAACTGACACAAAAGGTGATATTAATAAAGAATTCTGAACCATCACTACCTGCTTCTTTGATTAAACCCATATTCCTAATGTGGAAATTCATGCAACCGTGTAACACAAGGTCAATAAAACAATGATATAAAGGTAAAAATTAGGCTGCAGTCTAGGGCGGCAAAATCAAAACTGCCTAGGGCGGCAAATTGTCTTAATCCGCCCCTGAATATGACGTATAACTCATTACTGCGTCTAGCATTCCAGTTTGAGCCCGATATTGAGTATTATGCTCACTCAAAAGTGGTAATTGCTGCTATGGACAAGGAATGTCCGCATTGTCATGCTCTGAAATTTAAAAATGATCCAGCTGGGATGTGTTGCGCGTCAGGAAAAGTGCAACTACCAGAAATTGAAACACCACCTGCACCATTGAACGGCTTACTTATCGGCACGGATCCAGATTCTAACGTGTTCCTGAAGTCAATTCGAACATTTAATTCATGCTTTCAAATGACATCGTTCGGAGCAACAGAAATAGTTCGAAACATAAATGCAAAACTGTTTAATAGTGTTACTGTCGTAATTGTTTAATTAATAATATATAACTGTCAGGCAGGCTCCGGTTTTCACTTTTTTTTCTCGTTTTCGTTTTTGGGCGAAAACGTACGTTTTCGTTTTAGGTGCTCCGGTTTTCACAAACTTTTTGTCATCGTTTCATTATCGGAACGGTTCATTTTTTCATCGTTTCTCACTGTTCAAACTGCTAAATTGTTTTTTTGGTCAAAAGTAAACAACGCCAAAAATGCCTTTTATATTTTCAATTGCCTGTTTTGAAGCCAGAAGAAAACAGAAATTGATTGATTTAAGAAAATCGAGACATCTTAGATCCAACACATGTGTTTTTAATATGTCTGACGATCGGCAAGTCTCATTCACAGATATTTAAAATACCTCTAGTAACTTAAAATTTTACAGGTTTGTTAAATCATTTAGGATTGACAAAAATACTTTCAAAAGCATTTTAGAGACAGTCAAGCCACATTTAAAAGTAACCACACTGTCACACTCAATGCAATTGGCTGCTGTGTTGCGATACCTTGCTACTGGCTGCTACCAGCTTTCAGTGGCCAAGGACCATCATATAAACATTGGGCGAAGCACATTCGGAAAGATTCTGCACATATTTATTCCGTTGATGGACAGGCTTCTATGTAAGGATGCTATTTCCCTTCAGATGTCCAGGCAACAAATGCAGAAATATTCCGAATACTTCTTCAAAAGGTATCAACTTCCAAAAATAGTCGCCTGTGTGGATGGAACTCACATAAAAATTCAGAAGCCTGTAAACAATTCCTCTGTTTTCTTTAATAGAAAGGGTTATTACAGCATGAACGCCATGATGGTAAGTATATCGGTCAAATCTGTTAATTGAAGTTATGTAAAAACCTTTTTATTTCCTGAGGTTTGCAACTATAATATGGAGATCATCGCCATTGATGCCACACACCCTGGGTCCTGCCGTGATTCTTTTATTTGGAACCACTCCGACATCAGGGAATATTTTTCCAGGACTATAAACGGGTTTTTTGTTTTGGCGGATTCCTAGAGAGTTTCGTTTTAACTCCCTACAGGAGCACAGAGATTGGGACGCATCAGCATACTTTTAATTTAAGACATACAGGAGCCACGAATATTATCGAACGGACAATTGGGGTGCTTAAAAGCCGTTTCCGTTGCCTGCAACGATGCTTAAATTACGAGCCAGTTTTTTGTTGCCATATTGTCAATGTATGCTGTGCCTTGCACAACATTTGTAGAAGACGAAATGTGTCAATTACTGAGGACTTTTATTTTGACGACTCTGTCTCTTCCAGTATAAACTTAATACTGATTGTTCCTCTGCTGCAAACTTCTGAATAAAATCTAAAAAAACCCTGCAAGTTTATATAAATAAAACATCTTTACATTTACTTATTTTATTTATTCTCCTAGTTTTTTAATTATTTCATTGAATTTTGAGAGGAGCTCTCTCTTCAACTCCATGTCCTCCCGTTGCAGAGCCTCCATCCTCTGAAAGTGCTCGGACATGGAGTTGCTCAACTGCGACAGAACTTCGAGCTGTGCTGCGCAAAGGGTTTGGAGATCATGTTCAGGGCCACGCCGACGCTTTCGGCTTGGCTCCTCGGCTACCGGGTCCTTATCTGGGGTTTCTTCCTCCTCCCCTTCTAAATCAGGGTTCACGGTGTGCGAAACTCCATGTGATGGCCCAGCCACTCCCTCCACCATTTCGTACAGGCCGCAGATTTTGGCCACCTCCTCCTCCACGTCCGTTATAACCTGCTGCGAGTAAGGACCACCGCCAGTGGCCCTGGCCTCAGCCTTGTTTTTGGCTATCTTCTTTCGGATGTTGGACTTCCAGTCGCACCAAACCTGGAATATTTTTCTTTGATATATTAGCTTTCTTTTATATAGTAATTAATAGTCATACCTTCTTCCATCCTGCAACGTCTTTAATGGGAGGGCCAATTGCGTTCAACGCGCCAGCAAGATCTGCCCACTTCGCCTCTGCAGCCACTCGATCTCCTTTGACAAAGCCCCGGGCCAGATCTGGCTTGTCTTTCATGAAATCCAGGATAATTTCGTCCTGGAGCGACGACTTATGCTTCCCCCTAAAAACAATAGCTTTGCATTTAGTTTTAAATACACGAATTAAGTTGTCTTACTTACATTTTCAAAATTTCAAATAAGCTGTTCCCAGAATAAGGGGCTGCCACCTTTTTTGCAGTTTTCATTCCACTATTCTCAACCACATTTTTACTGCACTTTTGCCATTTAAGAAACTAAATTAATCATATTTATTTATAAAAAGCTTATTTAACTTTTCTTTACAAATATTTTTTCTTCGTTTTCATTTTATAAGTATTTTTAAGTGGGTGTTTCGTTCCACTACAAGTACGGCAGCATTGTCGATAACTTTTGGCAATAGATTTATCGGCCCCTTAGCAAAACGAAATTTGTTGCTGCCGACGGCAAATATTTTATGTATGAAATCAAGATGGGGTCAGAAAATAATTATTTAAAAAATAAATACGAATTAGATTGACCTATTGATGATGTTAAATGAACATCAATAGACCAAGGAGTCAACTATTTTTTTCTTTTTGCAATTAAGAACCGATCTAATGTAGAAAAAGGCATTTACTTTTCATTTCGACAAAAAAAACTTGCCCGTTTTTGAAAACGAAAAAGTCTTGTGAAAGTGAAAACGGAAGCACCAATTCTCGTTTTCGAAAACGAAAACGAGAGAATCTTGTGAAAGTGAAAACCGGACCCTGCCTGTATAAGTAGTAAATTATAATAACTTAAAAATAATGTTTGCTCTTTGTTATTTTTATATTCCCTCATGGTTTACAGCGCTCCGGATGACTTTATAATACATAAGTCTAAAACTGAGTAAATTTTGTACAGAAATTATAAAGTCAAAACAACGTTTGCCGGGTCAGCTAGTTTTTATATAAAAATTACTCAATAACTTTTATTTTCAATTTTTATTATATAAATTGAAAAGTAAAAATTATTCGATAACTTCTAATTTAAAAATTGAAAATAAAGATTGAATCTATATATCTTTTGATCCGTAGAAGCCAGATCCAATATATATGAATATATATGATCTACACATCAATACCTTTCAGATGGTATATAATAAGTATGTATATACAGTCGAGTCCCGATAATTCGAAATGGCAAGGGGATCACTTTTTTTTACGAATTAGACGGGAATTCGATTTATCGAGATTTTTTTCAAGGGAACAGAATTTTGGTAATTGTTTACAAGTGCGGTGCACGGTAAATACAGCTTTAAAAAATAAAGTAAAATATGGAATCGATGTGTTTTTTTCTAAAACTTCGAAATCCGTTGGCGGAGATTAAAAATTTTGCACCGTTTTTTTGTTATTAACAATTAAAGATTCGATTTGTAGTACAAATTCGGATCTGAGTAGGGGAGAGTGGGGTAATGTCGTCAGTGGGGCAAAGTCGTCACTCGCTATTATCTTAAAAAATATAAGGGCTACCAACCCAATTTTTTTAGCGTAAGTGTATTGCACTATTCCTACATTACCAACGGAGTTTGGGAGAATTATAGGTTATGTGTAATTATTTATTCATCAGAAAGTGTTTCGGAGCCTCAAAAGTAATTTTTCTCCGGCGCAGAACTTTTTTCTTCCAAGTACATTTTTGATCAAAGAAGTATAAAGATGAGTTATTATTGTTGAGAAATGTTTGGCGAACACGAGATGGTAGGTTGTGTAACACCTGATTCGAGTTTCGATTTGTTATTCATGTTTTTATCAAAAAATGTCGCGTGGGGCATTGTCGTCACTCAACGGGTGGGGCAAAGTCGTCACTGTATTATCTCAGACTGAAATACAAACTCGTATCAATTTATTATTGTTTTGTGATTGTTTATGTAAAGTATTAAATATAAAATATAATTTCTCCAAAATGTTCTTCAAAAAAAATAAAATTCTAAAAAGAGGTCGCCCAAAGAAAAATCTTTAAGAAATTCTGATTTTTGCTTTCTATCCTTCACTTAGATCTGAATGTGTCAAATTTTTGCAAAAAATAGGTATAGTGTTCCACTTTTTTATATGTATGAATATCAATAAATGTGTGTTTGACAAGTTGAAATAGTTTTGTGCACATGGGTTCCTATATTTGCATTCATTATTCTATGTGACGACTTTGCCCCAGGGGGTGACGACTTTGCCCCACGATTTTTCAATTTTCCAATTTTGACTTCTTTCAGATAACAGTTTCGTATTAATAAACAAGTGAGAGGATGTCCGAAATACTTACTGCATTTTATAGCCAGATCTTTTCCGAATCCAACCATGTATATTACATGATAAAAATAAATTATTTTATCAACAAATTACGCAATTAAAAAAAAAGTGACGACAATGCCCCACTCTCCCCTAACCGTATTTGCAATAATCCGCGACTAGACGACTGCAATAATCGGCACATCACATGCAAATACGGTCACTCAGATCCGAATTTGTACTACAAATCGAATCTTTAATTGTTAATAACAAAAAAACGGTGCAAAATTTTTAATCTACGCCAACGGATTTCGAAGTTGTAGAAAAAAACACATCGATTCCATATTTTACTTTATTTTTTTAAGCTGTATTTACCGTGCACCGCACTTGTAAACAATTACCAGTTTTTTTTATGAATTATCGCGATTTTCGATTTAGCGGGGTACGAATTATCGGGATTCGACTGTATATACATATACAGTATGTCAAGAAACACTTTACACAATGAAAATAAACTTTATTTTTCGACTTTGGATTAAACAAGAAAGGAAGCTAGCTTCGGCAAGCCGAAGCTTATATACCCTTGCAGTCGTCAAACATATCGAACAAAATACCTAAAGGCTAACAACATCGAAGCTATGACGACTTTTCTATTAATTTTCCATATTTTCGACTATTGTTCATATGGCAGCTATATGATATAGTCGTCCGATTTTGATGAAATTTCTTTCTCGGTTCAAGGGTAGTTCATAAAGTCGATGTTGAAAAAATCATGCTCGTGGAATAAAAAACAACAACGTTATGATTATTTTGCCATTATTTCTATATATATTTTTAGATCTTTCCTATGGCAGCTATATGATGGGGTTATCCGATTTTGATAAAATTTAATCCGAAATTTAATAACCGTTAGAAAACGCCATCTTTAAGAATTCAAGTCGATCTGATCAAAAACAACGGCGTAATAATTTTTTATCCTTTATTTTTTTTGACCTCTTGTATGGGAGCTATCCGATATAGTCGGCCGATCTGGCTCGTTCCGACTTATATACTGCGTGCAATGACTACACAACTTTTGGGAAAGTTTCAGCGAGATAGCTTTAAAACTGAGAGACTAGTTTACATAGAAACCGACAGGAGGACAGACGGACAGACGGACAGACAGACAGACAGACAGACGGACAGACGTACATACATATTACGATTCAGATGGTGATGCTGATCAAGAATATATATACTTTATGGGGTCTGAGGTGTCTCCTTCACTGCGTTGCAAACTTCTGACTGAAATTATAATACCCTTTGCTCTGCAAGGGTATAAAAATAAGTACCTTCCAGTTAATTTCATAATTTTTTTTTAATACACAACGATTCTTCGTGGCTTGCTTAATTAATAAGTGAAAAAACAAAAACATAACAATTCATAGGAAAATAATAATTAACTTAAACATGAATATACACATTTTTCATCCTGTCAAGAAACTCTTTACACAATACTAATTATCGTAATTTAAATATAAATATTAAGAAACTTATACATTTTAAATTTAGTTTTAGTATTTTGTATGACCCCCTTAGCATTAGAAACAAGCTGGATACGTTTTTTCATTGAATTGATCAACTTTGGCATATCATATACCAATGGTATTTTTTCCCACTCCTCTATTACCGCCGTTTTGAGCGCTTGACGATTTTTGGGCTGCCTTGTTGCCACTTTTTTCTTTAGGAAGGCCCACAAATTTTCGATAGGGTTAAGGTCGGGGCTCTGGGGGGGTGTATCGATAACCTTACCACAGTTGTAAAGGAGCCAATTCCGCACATTAAGCTCCTTGTGCTTGGGATCGTTATCCTGGTAGAACTTAAATTTGGGCTTATTGTCGGAAATAAAGCCAAATTTTTCAGCACTGGGCTTTAAATGGGCCTTTAAAATTCGAAGATATTGCTCAGCATTCATAGTATTTTCTATGAATGCGAGTTCTCCGACCCCTTTGCTGCTGATGCATCCCCAAATCATAACCGACAATTTTCCGAATTTAACTGTCGGAATGATGTTGCGGTTCTCAAGCGCTGTCAGTGCCTTGCGCCACACTTTGG